ATATATAAGCATGCTTTACAGAAAAATTATAATTAATTTTATTATTATATAGATGTGTACTTTGTTGCTATGTTTTCTCATATTCCTTTATTTTCAGGTGAACAAACAGATGTTGGGTGTGTGGCCTTGTGTTTTCTTGGTGTACATTTAATATATTTTCTAATCTCTCTTTCAGTCTTTCTAATTACATTTCCTCTCTCTCTCTCTTTTCCTCTTTCCTCTTTATATAACTAACAAAATCACTGATGATGAAGAAATTAAGAAACTAACACGTTTTTTTTCCTACTGAAGTGGAAAAAAGGCATGGAAGTTAGCAGTGCTTGCATCCGTTGCAATGACCTACAACTTAGAGATACAAGTACTGACAACTCACAAAATAATGTTTAAGACTACAACTGCCTTTGTTTTTTTAAACGACTTAAATTTTTCCACAATATATCACACTTAGTTTTTCATTTTTTTTCAATTGAAAATTGTTTTTCATCCCCAAAAAAATGAAGTTGATATTTTTTACAGTGTATATGAATCTAAAATGAAATATGTAATAATCAAATTAAAGTTTTCAAAGTGCWTGTGTTGATGAAGAGAACTGGCTTAACTTGATTATACCATCAGAGCTGTTATTATAAACAAGAATGATTCTTTTCCATATTGACTGGTCAAAAAGCTGTGGGGAAAAAGTGTTAATTTCAGGCCAGACAGTCGTGTAAGCTGTCAGAGCCGTCATCATGGTGATCACAGATGATGAATGACTTTGTCTGCCAGTTGCTTTAACAGTTGTTTCGGCGAGCCCGGCCCCCTCCCTCCTGGCCGTCATGGCACGAGCCTTACGTTTTCACCCCCCACCCCGGCGTGCAGCCAACACAATGAGGAAACTCCGTCTATGAACTTTTTTTTTCCAGACGYATTTTACTCTCAGAGAGTTTATGGAAACACAATAAGAGTTTTGGGGGGTGGGCTTTTGGGCTGCCGTGATGGATCTGTGATGGGCAGGAATGAATGTTTGGCCTCCGACGCAGCACCACTCTCTGCGCACTACTGGAAAGAATCGCATTTGAGCGATTGCAAAAACAACGGCGGCTGAATTAGTGAACAAAGCGGGAGCTGGCAGAGGCCGGAGTGTACCACGCTACATGTTTTACKATGCTTTCACCGCAAAGACTAAACACATTAATCACTGATTTTGAGGCTGGTTTAAACATAACAAAGTTGAGGAGAGCRGAGGAGAAGAAAGTTGCTGAAAAAACAGGCATGAATGTCCGTCAGGAGGAGAAACGGAGGTGAAATACTGTACGGACAAAGCTGTAAATGTAATCTCTTAACACAACCTACACACCGCATTAAATCAACTGAAGAAAAGCACGTATCAGTTACTGAATTCAGCTAAACCCCGACCGCAAACACCCAGCAAAYGTCAATGATCATTTGGAAAACATTCTCTTTGAGCAACAGCTACAGTGACACGTGCAAAACCTCAAACTCAATGCTGGGTCTAAATACAACCATTCTTCCTCTTTGTTGTTTCCTACACGATGAGGAGTGYCTGCTTCACTGCACCTACACATGGATGACTTGGTCAACTCTTAACGTGATTAGAGAACTTTGCTTTTGATCTTTGGTTTCCGCTTTCATGCCAACTCACATTCAAGGTGAAGTTTCCTGTGATTCAGCCACCAGCCCCCTGCAGCTACCTTCATATCAGTTTGTCTTCTCTGAACGGTCACATTCTCAGCTCGCATTGCAAGCACCAAAACTAGAATCAAGTCAAACCTTTGAAGACTGGGTTACAGAAGACTTCTACAGTGTGAAGCTGATGTTGGGCCYGTTTCATTCCAGAGCTTTTATATCTCGCATCAAAGGTTGATTTTTAGATTTGATCTTAGTGAGAATCAACGCTGATTAAAAGCTTCATTCAAAAATCGGCACGAGTTCACAGCACTAAAGGATAAGACAAAGCTTTTAAAGGGGGGTGTTGTGTATTTTTCGGGCACATAGTTCAATTCTATAAACACAATCAAGTAACTCTGTTACCTTCACTTCTAATGAAAATGATGAATATATCAAAAATAAAGTTGAGTTTGCATCAAAGCCCAATTAAACACTTTGAAATTGGCCTCTGTCTCTTTAAGAACCTCCTACCGTTTCCTTTTTTTTTTTTTTTGGATTTGGACCTCCTACCGTTTCCTACATTCCCACTTCAGCACACCTTGACAACAGTGTTTTGGGGGAGGGGTGCTCTGTGGAGCGGGATCTCAGCTGCAGACTTTGCTCCAGGGAGGAGCTTTGCGTAAATAGGCAGAGCTTTGTACCAGCAAGCATTCTAGGCAGCTCCACATGGCCACAGGAGATTCAAGGGTTTCTCCAACATGCATGAATGAGTCAAAGCAGCACTCTGGGTATGTTTTTGATGAGGGAGTGACATTACAGCATAATAAATGATTTTTACCTAATACCCTCCCTTTAAGAAGTCACAGAGTAGCTCTCACTTACATGCGAATAATGTTTTTAACACTGAAGTTGTCCAGAGGTGCAACATCTGGGTCCTCTCCTTTGTCGTCCTGTAGGACGATCTGCTGGAGGATCCTGTCTAAAAGCTGCCAGTGCTGCAGGCTGCAGCCTCCACGTTTATCTGACAGTCGAGACAAAAGCACACACGAAAATGTAAAACTAAGTCAAGTCTTGATCCATATTTAAAAACAGAAAACCAGGACAAATTTAAATAAATTAGGTCTACTCACAGGGCATCTGCAAGCAGTGCTGAAGGATCGACAGGAGATGAGGGTAGGAGTCTGTGTGGCTCAGTTTCTTCTTGATCAGCTCAAACATGGCAGCAGCACACTTTGTATCCACATGGGTCTGATGAGGAGCAGAAAGGAGAACATCTGACAAACCCGGTTCAACGGAGAAGCACGCTCATCTCTAGCTCTGATCTCGCGACAAAAATAACCTGCTTTGAAGGTAATCAAAGCCCACTCACCAGATCAAATCGTTTTGCCAGCTCAGAGTCGTCCTCGTTTCGCACCATCTCAAAGAAGTCCAAATGCCTGAACAAAGGGAAGGAAGGAACGTTGCAGAAGAACAAATAATTAGATGTGAAGCAGCAATTTCTGAAGAACTCAAAAYGATAAAAACAGAAAAAAGCTCAGCAGATGATAACTCACCTATCTAGAGTGGCGTTTTCGTGCTCTCTGAGCTTATCTATGACCGGCTGAATGCCCAGCATCAGGAACTCGTACCTTAGGTGGAGGCGAAACTCCAGGTTGTCCTGATTGTAAAATAAGCAGCAAAAATAGACTTATGACAATTGTTTGAACAAACAAATAGCATTACCTTAAAATAAGATGCCACAAAATGTGTATGTCTTTTTTTTAATAAAAGTGCAATACTGTCAGTTTAACCTAACAAGTCAGCAAATGTTTCTAATGCCACCTTAAAATCCAGGAATAAATATGGTCTTTCTTTGAACTTGTAAAAAATTTTAATTAATTATTTACTAGTTTTGTGTCAAAGTATTTTTTGAAGTTGGTATCAGTAAACCTGCTATTAAATAAAGACAAAATCTCAAAAATAACCTGCAGTGTATTTTGCACATTTTGGTCCGGTTTGATCTACACATGATCAGTTTTTTTTAAATTCTATTGGAGAAAAAGAAGGTGATTAAGACTTTTTTGAGTGCATGCAGACCTCTCCGGCTCCTGCGTTGAGCACGGCGTTGATGAAGGACATGATGGCAGTCTTTAAGTTGACCTCATCTCTGTAGCGACCCGTACTCCTGTCCAACTCATTCAGGAGAGTCTGAACATGGAAAAATACATGGCAAAGTTTGCCAGAAACTAATAAGTTGAACTAGAATACATATTAGAGCTAAAATCATCAGATGCAAACAGAGTTAGATGAAACAAACTTGTTAAAAGGCGATACAGATATACTGATTGAGCAAAATTAAAAGCTGAAGAAAAGGTAACACAGAGCCTCCTAAACTGACACGTAACATACTTTAGCTTAATCATAACTCAAACCAACATTAAAAGGCTTCAGACATTCTCAATTATTCAGCTCCTGGGGTCTTAGCTTAGTCTAAAGTGACATGATTTACCACATGCCCCCCAGGGGTTGTGTAAAGTGTGGCTTGTTGACTCAGCTCTGCTTCTTACTAAGGCCCTCAGCACGCAGTGACCTCCATAAGTTTAAATATCCTTGCCCCCTCTCCTGAATAAGGATGGTATGCTGACCTAACCTGAGGCCAAATGTCTGGAGGTACTTTAGGACAAGTAATCAACTTGTTGAAATGACCACAGCTTGATTTATTAGAGCATTATCTTGAAATATTGTGTCTGCTTTAAGCCTCCTGCTATGACTCAAATATGTCTACACTAAATACTGTGCAAAGGCCCTAAACTCACTGCCTCCGCTGGCTGCCCCCTCCCTCCCATGTCCTTGTGCCTCCTCTGCCCCCTATGATAAATGCCTTGTGCAGAGGTATTTTTATGTAACCTCATATTGTGTCCTGAGAGGACAAGTACGAGACTTCTTTTTTTTATCCTCACCTATCCTCATGTTGGCTATTTCTTCTTTTCTAATGCAAAGGTAGCACCTCTTTATGGCTGCAGGACCCATGGGCACCTGTTCTCCCATGTATGTGATTCATGTTTTTGTTTCTCTCTCTCTCTCTCTTGGATGGGTTGTTCTGAACTGTAATTTCCCTTAGGGATCAATAAAGTATTTTTGAGCTGAACTGAATTGAACTGAACTGAATTAAACCACCCCTAACTGTTTACATTTAGTTTCCAAGCTTTCTAAAAGTTGGATGTTGTTTTTCAATTTCAACTCAGTTTCAGTGCGGTCCTTGTGGCTGATCATTTTCAAAATGATATTTTGTTTATTAAAAAGGAGACATATCCTGCTTTWACATCCATCTTTTTCACATTGAAATCATTCTSTTRGGTCTATATAAAGTGGAACTGCAATGCTTTGGTCTGAATCCCTCTTTATTGTATCTCCGCAAGCTCTGCCCCATTTTCTGAAGTGAGTCTCAACTCATTTTGAGGCTGTCTCTTTAAATCCAAACAAGGCGCTTCACACCCCGCCCCCCTCCACCTTCCAGAGCGGTCCATTCCAGTTTGATAGAGGTGTTTACGACTATATAGCAGTGCAGAAACAGTTTATTTACAAATGAATTAAAAGATGTCAACAAGGAAGACGTGTCCATCCAGCCTCACATGTTGGAGCCAGAGTCAGACCCAGGGCCAGAAAAGAATGATTGTAGTTGTAAGTCCAGACCTTATATGGCAGTTCTGTCACAAATACTATGATGTAATAGTTCAGAAAATATCATAGAAAAAAACTGAACTGTTTGAAAAATATGACCCCCAAAAACTATAAAGATATCTATGCAACAACGGGAGAGAGTAAATTCTAATTTCCTCGACTCAGAGACTCCAAAGACACAACAAAAGGTATTTAACTTTATATATATATATATTGCTTGATATGTACGCTTTAAGACATTTGACAATAAACTATTAATCCCTTAAACACAAAAAGGGCATCTAAACTCAAAGAATTTCAGAATCATTTGCCATTCACACACAACATCAARATGCAGTGCAGAACGAAATTTGCAGTTTAGAACATCTGTCCAGAGAAACACACACACGTGACAAACATGGGGGAACGAATGTCCAGGGTGTTTCGCAACTTAGTGCGCTACCTTTGCAGTTTAGAATACACAAACATAGGAAGGGTTTGTTAAAAAAAGAGCTTTGATCCCGTTTTATACAGAAAACACACAAGCATATGCTCAAAAAAACTACGCTGCAAAACAGTGCGGACAGCTAAGGAGGGGAGGGGGTGGGGGTCAAAACACATGGTGTGGGGAGGGATACAGGGAGCCAGAAGTAACCCTTGTTGTGTCTACATTTAACTTCACATATCCACCACTTGTTTAGTTAAATGCTCAGAAAGAACATTTCATTTTCCCCTCACCTGGAAGCGAGTCCTCTCAGCAGCGTATTTCTGGTAATGCGCCATGGCCTGCAACACCTTCTTGTGTCCRTCGGGCACCAAGCAAACTGCGCCCAGTATCTCCAGCACCGCCACTTTGGTTTTGATGTTCTCCGTCCGCAGGCTCTGAGAAATGGTGTTGATGCTCTGAGGGTGGGCCAAGACGTGCGCGCGGCCCTGCGAGTTGTTCATCAGGGCCTTGATGCAGCCAATGACAGAGGTGTGGATGCGGCTCTCCGACGTCTCGTAGTCCATGCTGCGCAGAAAGTTGAGCAGGCAGGTGAGCCCGTCGAGTTCGATGAAGCGTGTGACGAACCTGAAGGGATGAAGAGCAAATTCAGAAAAAAAATGAGAAGACTTGGAAAACAACAGAAAGAGTAGCTTCGTTTAAAAAGACTTGCAAACCATTATTAGGCATTTTTCTTTGGAAACCAGTAGTTCATTTGCTCATTTTTGTTCCAATTTAAGCCATGTTGTTGGATAACATTAGCTGCATTTCCATTGCAAATGTGCGCAAAACTTTGTCAGTATTCTGTTAATGTCAAAAAACACAGTTTCGCAACTGCGGTGTTTCCATTAAGTAAGAAATGCTATTAAAGTCACACGTGAATAAGCTTGTTCTCGCAATACGTCATTACAAACATGGCGGCAATGGATGTAAACACATAGCAAATTGCTACCGCGACACTAGCGCTCATCATCAGAGGAGACGTCGGTGTCTTTTTTCGAGGCTTTCCAGCGTCAAGCCCCTACTTGGGAGTGATATGTATGCTGTGTTTTTGGGAAATTGTAGTTAGTGAGTTTACTACTTTCTTTTACTACTTTTGTGATATTACTACTACTTCTGCTTCCTGTTATCTTCTTCATCGTTGTCTTTTACGCCAGTAGAAACAGACGGTTGTTGATCACGTGACTCCCGTGATGCGAAAAAAGTGTTTCCAATGCAGCTTTGGAAAAACACCAAATTCGATACGGCCAAAAAACCACCTTATCCTAGCGCAAAAACATTGTTGAAAAACTTATTTTTTTCCTAAATTGACATGTTTCCATTGAATAAATTTATTTTCGAAATTCTAATTTGCGCTTTTTTGYGGTCAATGGAAACACAGCTATTGCCATTCACAAATGTAGAACTACTGCCAAAAGGTCTTGATTTGGAATTCAGCTGTTTAACATCTATTTCTCAGAACCATTATAGTCAACAAACATTTTTTTGTTGAGCTTTCACAAGATTTTGATTCACAATGCGTCCTCTCTTCCAGGCCATTCCAACACACTCAAATATTTCATTTACTTTAATCATTTCCTATCACTCAAACCATCATAAAAACGCAAACTTGACACTTTCAAACTATAACTCCTCAAGTTCACCTCGTCTTTGACACACAGCCCGCATTAGCCGAACTAATTAGAAAACGGCGAGTCATTGACCTCCACGAGGAAAGAAGCGACAAGCAGGACATGTAAACACTGGAGGATGTCACGTCCAGTGAGCACAGTGTGGGTTGGTTTGCAAATGAGTTTCCCACTCAGTAAGATTCCTGATAGGCTTCATAAATTATTTTAAACAAATGAAGGTTTGTAAGATGGAAAGAAAGAGAGCAAATGAGGAATTGAGTGAGAGTGAAAAGAYAGCTAAAAATAAGCTGAGATTCATGACTACTTTATGTGGTTGATTCATGGATTCATGGTTTTGACCCTTATAGACAGTCTGAGTTCTGTCCTCTTCTGCTGTCWTGGCTGAAGCCTGTATACAAACAACGCCAAAAACTTTAGATATTATAATTAGCATAATTCACACTGGGACGGCGGCCTCTCCCTTGCTCGCACACGATGAATCTCAGATCTTAAGCAGATGCCTGGAAATAAACAGAGAGAAAAAAAAACATCACCTGGCACCATCGTGCTTCTGATTTCCAGCAGCGGTTTTTCGATGAGATCGAGAAGATCTACATGCATGCACGCATGGATACAATCAACGATTTAAARAACACACACAGCAATCACAAGCCAGCAGACAATGTGCTTCTTGTTTGAGCTCATATGCTTCAACCTCCACTTCGCACCATGGTGGTGAAAAATAAATCCCACGTATTAAATWCGACTCGATTCCGATTTAATGCAGACACTGGAGCAGGAGCGAGGCAGAAATGGTCCAACTGCAATAGCTGGACCCAGCGACGAGGGTTTGGCCAGTGGAGACAGCAGGAACAGCCTTACATCTGCTCAGAAACTTAGGGCCAACTCTGAAAGAACTTTCATAGTGGAAGAGAAATTAGGCTGAACATCCTTGTGATTAATGTATGGAAAGCAGAGGGTGAGAGATGTTTTTCTTGGCGTCTGGATTCAAGGCTTTGCACGCCGCCTGCTTCGCATCACTCTACCGTATCACCGACAATTTGCCTGAAAACATGCATGGATTACACATCACGACCCGATGCATCTGTGTGCACTTGTATAAAAGGAAGTGAACAAGAAGATATTCACAATGGAGGAGATACACCTGCTCTAATCCTCGAACCGCTAACATGCAACAGCACTCTTCTCTTCTTCCAAACTTCATGCTCTTAGTGAGCACTTAAAACAGTAACGTTTCTTTTGTCTTCTTCAATCCAAAGATATTTAGCTGGCTGGCATAAATATCAGGTTCATTTCCATTTTCTGGAACGAGAGCTGCATACGTAACCACCCACTTAGGTTCAGCTGCTGCATGTGATATGAGCAGAGGCGAAACGGATAAACGGTACCACAAACACAAACATACAAGAAGATGTTCAAGTAAAAAAGTAAATAAATAAATAAATAAATAAATAAATAAATAAAAAGGCTTGGAATGATCCAAGAGTAAAAAAGTTTAAGATAAGTCAAGGGTCGAGGCATGGTATGCTTTCTTTGATTACATAAATGATTGCTATTATTGAGAGTTAGCAGGCTTTGATAGTCATGCAATTTCCATTGATCTAAAAAAAAAAAGGGTGGAAAAATCCCCCAACCAGAGGCAGACAATATTCGTAATGAGCAGGATGGAGCGGAAAACTAATCCAGATGCTCAAATTGAAATTCAGAATTTGAGTCCAGCTAAACAGATTGTTTGAGGTTTTAGCTGTAGAGGCCAAACTGTTTTTGTTTCTGAACCAAGGATGACCCCTGTGTGGCAGACTGCCTGCCTCGAAGCATAACCGCAAAAACTCCTCCGAGTCCAACGCTTCCACAAGCACAAACTCAAGTGACCATGYGCTCTTTATAGAGCCTCTCTCCGGTCCTTCACATCGTCGCACTTACAGCCTCTTTCAAAAAACACCCACTCATCTACATCCCGGGACACGAGCGTGCATTCACACACAGACGTCTGACTATATTAAGGACYTGAATGTGAATGAGAGACCTTGGAGGGTTGTAGGAGGCATCGATTACAGCTAACTGATTGGAGGTGTTTGCAGGACTGGGATCAGACATGAAATAAAATCAGCACGACGTGCACTTGGAAAGAAAAAAAATGTCTCATTTTGTGAATCCTGGCATATATCTGAAGTAACATAAAGGCTGAACAAAGGACAAGCACATAAAATTGACACATAGAAAGAAAACAGTAAAACTCTTGGCCAAAGAGCACATCTGCGGTAAATGTGTGCGTATGAACAGAAGCGTTCTCATGGATAAAATTTATTAGCAGATCCAYGGGGAGAGGTTAGTGTAGCGGTCTGTCGGCTCAGGTGGTCTATAACATAATGACCCCAAGAACCTGTCACTGAAATCACATAATACTGCACTTAACCAACAAAATCAAGAATTAAAATTATTTCCCCCTAATTTGATAATATTTCAGCATTAGATATGACTTGAAATTACCAGTTAAGACCACAAACACAAACCAGAGAAGTGACTTCCTGCTTGCTGTTAAAAACAACTGAGCATATTTGCTGCCTTTGTCTCATGACAAAGAATCTCCTCATTAGATTAAAAGCAGCTTCTTTTTGGTCACAGGGACTGTGGATTTTTAGTCTTTGCTGGTAACACRTTAGCTGGCTGACATTTAACTTCAAGTGAACGTACAGAATCTGGTTTCCCATAACAAATGTGTTCTCACAGGTTTTAGTTTTGACTTGCTTCTGCAGTTTTCAGACTCAGCCCTATCTGTTGTTGTTAAACTGCTTGGACCTGCTTTCTCTTTTTGTGTAGTCTTTGTTTTGAAGCTGCCTGTAAAATACAATGCAACCTGAACTACTGTGACCAGACTTAGCCGACTGCCAACACACTATATTGTTCTGTTACATTTTCCAAAGGCAATAAAACTTAAAAAAAATTTAAAAAACGGTTTTGCCTACGATTACTTGGATAAAATCAAATTTCCATGTCACATCATTAAGTGTTTCTTTATCTAACTGTCAAACAAAGTATGTCACATTTTTTCAATAAAATGTGTATTAAAATAAAATAAAAAAAAGCTAAATGGACTGCATTTATAAATACATTCCAACTCTGCACACCCCTCAAAACATTTCACACTGAGTCTCATCGACTGGTTCACACACYAACAACAATTAACAGATGTGCGGCAATTTGTTTTAGTGTCTTTTTCTGTGCAGACAACACAAGCTCCCTCCCTGTCTTTATAGCCAAGTATCCCAGTGAGAGAAACCAGCCTCAGAGAAACAAACACATYGCTCTGGCCAAAGTGTGATTCTCTGCTCTCCCACTAATACATTATTTAATACTGTATGTAAAGGGAGAAATTTCAGCAGAGCCTTTAAAGAGATCTGGCTGCAGAATGTTTAAAACAATAATATCTGCTTGTGCTGGTAGCAGATCATCCAAAGGGTTATTGACACAGAAGCAGAGGAGAAGAGATTTCCCCAAAACGGGGTCCAGGCAGCTGTCTCAGTTAAGCTTTGAGATGATGACATAAGTCTTTGACTGCAGTGCATCTTGGCCAGCACAGCCCCAGTGACCTGAAAAGAAAACCTTGATTTTCTAACCCCCCCGGCAGTTATTTCACAACTAAATGGAAGCAAATGARGGGTGCCGAATCTTGGATGCATGAATGCATATATAGATGTACTCAATATAAACACAAATAATGAACACATGCATTTGATTACAGTTTAACAAGGTCTATAAATTTACTGAATAAATATATCTATTGAAAACAATTTAAGGTGTATGAAAAAATATTTGCAGCTTCACTCAGATAAAATAAACTGCCATGATAGTTTGTTTTAATCTTATTGTTCCATAATATAATGTTATATTTGTTGTACCAACACTATTTCCATTCGATTTTCAGACTTCTTTGTGGATAGGTCTGTTCAAACGGAGGAGAACTGAAGAGGAGTACTGTCAATGCAAATGGTTTTACTGTTTGGTTTTGATCTTACTCAGGACCACGTTCCACGTTTTGCAGCTGTTAAGGGCTGTTGGTCAATAAAAAAWTTTTCCAGCCATAAAAAGATAAACAGTCATTAATGATTTGCTAAAACGTGTACTGATATATTAACCACTGATAACAGATAATTACAAAAAATGCATTGTAAAAACTATAAATGGTTACCTCACATTGTCAGAGTTTTAATTATTGYTTTAGGTGTAATTAGTAATAATTTAGGAGAAAGAGATAAGACCTCTATTAACTAGGGGTGCAACGACATAAATTCACAATTTGGTTTGATACTTTAGTCTCATGGGTTGATGCTTTTTCAATACAAACAAAATACATTTCCATGCCCTTCTTAACTTGTAATTTATTGAAATTAATTATGAATTTTTTAAATCACAAAAGGACAGTTTTTAAATTAAATGTTGATGAAACAGCAAGTTTCTCAATGGGTCTGTGCTCGACAACGCAGCCTAGGTGGAGTAGTCGAACACAGATCCACTGAGCCTTCAACACAGAGCATTTTCAGAAGACAAGTTGATAAAATATATTTAAAAAATCTGTATTGTTTGCTACATAGGGAACCTTGAGCACTGTATTGAATGATTCGATACAGATACATGTATTGTTGCACCCCTACCTGTAAAATGAAACAGCTGAAAACGATGCAGACTTTAACCCAATTTCACCATTTTTTTTTCTAATTTTCAGACTAAAATTTTTTGAAAATTTCAGACTGATTTTCAAACTAAAAAACTGAGACATTTTGTCATGAAGTGAGACTGAAATAAAGACAGCTCTGTTAATTTTCATATCTCTTTGTTTTCACTGTAACAACAACTCAAACCAGTCACCTGATCACAGTGAACGACTCCCTGACAATGGGCTCTTTTTGTCTACTCTGCCTGGCACCCTGCATACCCACCATGTGTTTGACTCCTGTGGCCCTGCAAAACAAGCTGAGAGCAACAAGGGCCCCTGTTCAGAACCAGGCGCAGCTGCCTCTGTAAAAGTGCCAGAGGGGAAAAGGAGGAGGGAGGTCATTTCAGGCCGGCCAGCATGAATCAAGCTTAAATACGAACAGACACAGCCGTGTCTCCCAACACTTGAGCATAAAATCAGCATGAAAACCACCGAGGAGCAGAGAAATGACCCATAAAGATGGGAAGACGTTCAGATTTCTCCCAGACATTTAAGCTCAAAGCCATCTTTCTGTCTTAGACACCCATTTGTCTCAAATCTGACAAAAGGCTGGACACTAACGTACTGCTCCGGTTCTCCCTGGACACCCATATTCTGTGGAACACACCTGCTACCCACATCAAGTTTACAGTAGTGAAAAACATCTGTGTGGTAATGAGCCATAACTCATTCTGAGGTGAACAGCCTGGGTGCAGGTGTGTCACTGAGCGGCGACAATTGAGCCGTTACAGTTTGATGGAGTCAGTTATCTGAGGGAGGAGGAAAAACACAAACAATAAAAGGTGACCCTCAAAACTATCAAAAAATAAATAAAGAAAAACACTCTTATTTATGCTCTTCTGTTCTTACATTTTATCAATCTCACATTTGATCACCTGCAAACAAAAATAATAAAAAATCATTACTAATTTAAGGATTCTTTTGGAACAGTATTACTGGATTTTGACTGAGAAGTTCTTACTACATTTGCAGAAAGAAAGCATTAAGAGATGATCAAAGTTTGTTCTTTAAAGTGGACATCAAAAAAGAAGAAAACTAAAAAGTGAATGATTGGTTTTTAGAATAAAGCATGTTGATTAAATAAACTTTAAAGGGGCAATATGTGTTTCTCAGACATATATTTAAATACTATACCATAACAAATTATCTGTCACCTTTAGTTGTTATTAAAATGCTGTTTTTATGTTTAAATAGAAAATAAACATCTTCTCATCACTTCCTCTTCTAAATGCCTTGAAATTGGCCTCTGTCTCTTTAAGAACCTCCTCCCGTGCGCTATAATGCAGTTTACTTGGCATCTGAAAATACATTTCCTCAAAAGGTATTTTTAATCTGATAAGAGCTTCACTGAGTGAGTTTTAGGAGCTCAGCAGACAGTTTCAGTTTCACTTTCAGTTTCACCCGAGAGCCTGCATGGGCAGTGTGTGTGTGTGTCGGGGAGGGCTCTGCCATGAGGAAGTTCGGCTTAAAGACACGTCCCAGGGGCGCTTCTGGTCCCCACCTGTCATTTTAATCCTCAGCATGGTTTCCTAAAATCGCTGCAGGATTTCTCAAACATGCATGAATGAGTCAAAGCAAGGCTTTGGGCATGTTTTTATGGGAGTATAGCATAATAACATGATATAAAACTCAAAAAAGTTGATTTTACATGATATTGCCCCTTTAAAAGGAYAGATAATGGTGGATTATTTCACAGAATTTGTTGGTAATTTTTTTTTCATTAAGTTGCGATCTGCAGCGTAATCAGCGTGGCTGCTTTTAATTACCTGTGCAGAGCAATACGTCTTATATACTCCATAGCCAATCCAATAATCCTATTAAAAACAGAAAAGCTCTACTAAAACAAAGAAGTAATAATTAAACATAAACTTAAGTTATTTGATACCATCTTTTATCAGATGCATAAACAGCATCAATGCACAAGTGGGGGACTGAAGATGAAGCACAAACACAATGGTGCAAAGTTGGCTTACAAAACATACAACCCAGACGTGACCCAGACTTAAAAGCTGCAGCGAGTTTATGTCACTCTGCACATTCACTCTGTCACTTTATATCTCGTCTTGTGAAAGCTCAACGGCCTCGCTTGGGTTCAGACCAATGCACCTTCTGAGTGGCGGACGGAYGGCTGCAAAGGAGCTGCTGATGGGGGGAGAGGGAGGCTGCTTGTGTTAGCGGGATGTCCAGTGTCTGAATGTTTCGTTGTGATGACAAGCAAAAGCCTAACAGCTGCCAGTGACCATGTCGGGAGAGGAAAAAAGTGAAACATTTGGTCTAAAAATATCTTTAATTRGCTGTATTTCAGCTGGAAGCGATTAAATAGAATTACTCTTAATGACAAGAGACAATTATTATAAACTAGATCTTTCCAACAGTATGTTACATTATTAGCTGTAATTAGTTTGTGGGGTATTACTACGACAAGTCAACTGGTCGGAATGAACGACTTGAGTTGGCGTCATGCAGTGAAAAGCTCTGCTGTTTCTGGCAGAGGAAAATACCAGAGGACAGTAAGTAATGAAGATTCTCTGACCTCATCGGCTGAGTTCTGAGAGCCGTCTTCAGATCTTCAACCACCTTGTTCCTCATTTCCATTTCCTCCTCATCAAAGGCAAATAGTGTCTGCATCTGGAAGCACARGGAGAGATTTATTCCATACACAGGTCTGAAATGTGGTTTTATGGTACAGTTAATTTGTAGTTGGGAGTTTTTGATGCTTTTCATCTTCAATAAAGAGAATTTCTGAGTTATTACCAGGGCAACATAAAAATCTTAAGACATAAGCAATACATATTCTGCTTTGTTTCACAAGGACTTGTTCTTGTTTCGATTAGACTTAGTAACATATTTATTCAGACTCTCCAGGCTGAACTGCCAGGCTCTGTTAAWCAACCAAGTGTATTTTTTCCCCCTAAAAGAACCGTTTGAAGCTAAACGACATGCCAAACTAAGTCATGCAGACAATTAGCTCTAATCAAGCCCACAATAAATAGAGCAAATAATAAATAACATTCAAACCAGCGTTAGCGTTAACGCATCTGTGCACCACTTAAAAGCTTTTGTCAGTAACTTCAAAAGAGCTGCTGTGCTCCCATTAGTCACGGCTTCTGTTTAGCTTCTACAGGCGTTTCCATCGCAGCCCATTGCCAAATGCTCAACTGTTTGTTTCAACAGTAGAGTAAGCTTGCCATAGTACTGCCAATTTGGCTGGTTGAGAAAAAAACGCATTGATGATCATATTTTATAATCCTTAAATACTGCATCTAGATTGAAACTGCTTGCTAATATTCCACAAACAACAATGAGAACAAACAGTTGTTAATTCAAGTTTTTGTTATACCCAACAACTCCATTTTCTAGAGCGTGAAGGAGTGTTAAATCTAGAGACATTACAGTCAAAATATCCACCGATTCAACTTAATCTCAAATCCAGACAGTTTAAAAGCCCTGAAGAGGCAGTTCTCTGAGCCAGCTCCCCATGTCAGTGAGTCTAGCCAAAAGGCTCCTTCTTACATCTGCTATTTGTAAGCCCATTCATACCTGTGGCCAGCATGCACACAAGGATATTATTATAGCATGTTGGTAAACCAGCAGACGGTACTTCCCTAAATCTTTATTATGAGAAGTGCCTCCCAGAGTCAGTGGTTTGCCTTCGGGCTGGACTGAAGAGGGATGATCATTTGGGCAACGCAGATCACTGATGCACAAGCTAATATCGGATGTTTTTTACGTAATGGTGACAAATCTGGAAAAAAATTAAGATAACTTCTAAGGTTGTAAATTCAAGGATGTTTGTTTATTTATTCATTTATTTATTGGACTGTACACTTTTCTCCACATTGGCTATGGTAGCTTGGTGGTTAGTGCTGCATCTTGCAATCCTGAGGCTGCAGGTTCAAGGCTAGATTGCATCAGAAAGGACATCTGGTGGGACCCTTGCTATAGAGAGCAGCTGAAAGAAACAACAATTCAGTCAGATGGTCTGCATTTAGAAAAATAACGTCTGGCTTAAAAAAATGTTTTAGCAAACCATACATTTTGAATGGTTAAAACCTGAAAGTTTCTAATGGAAAGATGGAAACAAAAATCTAATATATTCATCTTTAAATAATCCACAAACAGAAATAAAATCCATCCATACATTTTAATTTATGTTGTGGCTTTTTCAAATTGAAAGCATGCCATCCTGAATTCTCTGTGATTCATTTTATCTCAAGTGACAATCAGAAGCGTTTTACTTCATCATTGAGGCTTTATTCCAGTTTCTTGCTTCAGGAAACTTTCTCCACTCACCAGGTTAGAAACATCTGGACTACAGTAACTTTCCTCTATAAGTCAAATGGACATTTGATTTATTGCCGCATGGCCAACAAACAAAATCAGAGCTCTGACATGACTTTATGAATGAACATTAAAATGCCGGTCATAAGGAAATCGTCAGGCCAACGAAGCCAAAGTGAGATCATCTAATAATTCAGCTACTGTAGAAGGTCTGCCCCTGTGAGCTCGAACACAAGCCAAGACATGAAGTCATGGATTTCTTGTGAAGATGTTGTCTGGAGCACCACTGTGGAGTCAATGGAGGACTTGTAATGGGCATGAAAAACAGTTCGGGAAAGGGAGAAAACTTCTGACAGTAAATAATGGCGTCTAACTCTGGACTTAATAGCAAATATAAAAAAAGAGAGAGAGATTTTTAAAGTTGGGATTTTGATTTTCGCATAAGTAAAATGCTACAACCTTTATAACTGTTTCCAATGTTTAAATCCGTCCCTGATATCAGTGTAATTATTTATACTGACCCAGTCTACAGCACGTAGCTCGGGGTGTCGCCCGGGATCATCTGACCTTTGTAGCATGTCTTGTACGTCAATTTATTTTTTCCACTAAATTTTATTTTARAAGTTTGATATGTGGCCTTTGTTTAGTTAAAGCTGACTGGGTGGGCTGTCGTGCCATTAAAACATATTGGCTGTTTTTGCTTTGCTTAATTGTGTGGYAACCCTGGGAAGTCCAAATAAATGAAATAGAGCCAGTTAAATCGATCAAAAAAGTGAGACAAAAACAAAGCAGATATGTTGGCTTTAAAAACCTAACTAACATAAAAAATGCAGAACTGATACATTTTTGCACAAAAAAATTGATTTGCATTGTTTTGGAGATCAGCTCCAAAAGAAAGGATGAAACATAATGTTGACAGAATGTCTGACACCTAATATTACTAAAGGCACTGCTGCAGTCCTGCTGGATTTCACATTCTTGGCAGCTCACAAATCAGAACTTTCTCTGTGCTCCACTTACAGTACAACACCATCTGTGTAAGTGCTGCCTGAACCTGACAGTAAAAACGGTTTCTTCAGACATCGATGTTGAGCTCTGGTACTGATGGTGTTCTGTCCAACAGAAACTCACTTTCTCCCTAAAGCCAGTAAACAAAAAACAGCTGTAAAAGTAGCAACCTCTAACATGAGCTGGTGCAACATGTGCATTTGCCAGAAAAAATAAACGGCACGGTAATAAATAGTTTTTAATGCCTTTATTTTTATGTTTATAGTGATCTGTATAAATTACAGCCGAACAGTTTATCTGATCTGTGGCCTGGGGAAATTTAGAAATGTCGTAAAAATTGGACTGTTTGTTTCAATACTGAAAAGTAAACATTAAAAAAGGCAGAAAATATATGACTATTTGAACTGTAAAACTAGCTCGATCATTTCTACATTTCAGGGGTACAGGCCACCCTTTAAGAACCCCTGTTAAAAATATCTTATTTAACGGTTTCTAAACATTCGGGAGACCAGTTCACATAAGAACTCAAAAAGGTCAGRGGTCACCAGTACAAACTGTTCAGTGATTGAGTGAATCAAATACCACAATGTCACATAACAACATGTAAAATTTAGAGTAGAAGAGAGGTCAGCGGTGGCATCACACTGTTTTCACTGGCAGCCTTACTGACTAGAAATAATGAACGTCGTCGTCGTCTTGGCTTGGCTCCATGTTTCTGACGGTTATTCCCACTCGCTGAACTGCTGAGTGTCTAAATGGCCTGTTTGTCATCACAGTGTGTGTGAATGCAGAGGTCAAAGCGAAGGAATGTGGTCATGTGAATATATATATATATATATATATGCAGTCAGCAGGGACATGATAAAAAAGTTTGCCCAGAAAGATGCCTGAGAAAAAATGACAGAGAGCGCAGTGACCTCTCGGGAGGGAAAAGCTCGCCTTAAAGAGTTTTTTTTTATAAACACCATAGTGTGTTACATTGTCGATATAATATGATGTTTTTTCTTTCCTCGTCTTCCCTTATGTGGTTTTTAGATTTTCTGTTGTTAAAGGTAGCGCAACTGTGTTTGCTGCACGACCTGTTTCACCTGTTCCCCCATGTTTGCCTTGCATGTCTTCTTGAATGGGCGTTTCTTAACTGCCCCACCCCGCTTCCCTGAATGTACAGCACATTGTGAATTTATTTCTATGAAAGCCACTATATAAATAAAACTTTATTTACTTACTTTACTTATGTTACGATGCTTATATGTAAATTAAGGATAGGAAAAGAGTTTAACTTACAGCCGCCATGGAGTTGATGCGGTCTATGTAGTAGTCGGGCCAACTGGTGGCCAGTTTGTTGGGGTCCTCTTGCTCCTACACATGGAAAGAAACAAACTGAGTGAAACTCGCACACTGCATCAATATTTTTTATTGTTATGGTGCGGTGAAAGTGATTTATGAGCAAGTAAACAGTTCGTGTTGAAACACGTTTATTTTTGCAGTTCTGACCACAATCTGAAGTTTGTATCACATTCCCCGTGTTGCAAACATTAAACCAAAGTCTGTTCCTTTGTGCAATGAATGTCAGCCAGTTCGGTCTGAAAATAACTCCACAGCAGCTTGAGATTTTCAAGATGTTATCTATCATCTAATATCATATAAAGTCTGGAACCAGGCATTTATTTTCACTTTATATATTAGACAAATTACACAACCGGAAGCGGTTTTCTAATTTGGACTGGGGTTACTTTGGAGTATTTCACGTCAGTTCAAATAAGAGATAAACAAACAGTGAGTGTAGTTTAGTGTGTTTTCTGATGAAAAAAACAAAACTACACAACAATTTCTTGTTTGTTTTGTTTTTATTGTTGATGTGGTTAAAAGGCAGGGCAATGACTAATCTCAGACTTTGTTTTTGTCATTTAAATAAGAACTTTTGCTCTTTTAAAGACATTATAAAAGCTCCGATTACCTTCATTTGAACTGAACCTATCAAAACCAAAACTTGAACTAACTCTATTCATCTTGTGACTTTATTGTATACAAACCACAATAAAGAAGAGAAACTTTCAAATAGAAGCAAGTATTTAAGATGGCAGCTGCAATAAATTTAATTGGCGAGATTGCCTTTTATCTATTGCACTTTATTATTTACTCTTCAAGGGCRTTCGTCCTGCTTAGACCTCATTAATTCTCTGTGTGCCTTCTGAAATAATGAAATCAATCATTTAAAATGTGGCTTTAATATTTATTCAGTGGCAACACATGGCTAAAACCAAGTCACCCTTTCTGTTGATTAAGTCAGACAATCTCCATAATGAGACCAGCTTGAACTGATTTTCACGAGACATAAAACCTAATTATAGATAATTAACAGATTCAAATGCAGGCACAACAATGAGCTGTAGATTCAGCAAGGTTCTGGAATTTTGAACAATATTCACTATAAAAGCTATAACTTTCCTGGACTGAGTACAAGTTTGGTCAACGTAGATTTTAGTCCCAGTAATGACCATTGTTTTTGAACCTCGGCGCTCCGTGCCAGCACGCAAATTCACTTAAGAGCCGGAGAACAATAGAACTCACTGTAATGCACAGCCGGTGTTTTCAAGCCGGCCGTCTTTTCCAATGTGCCGCTGACACGCTCAGGACGCAAAGCCAGACTGATCCCAACACCAAGATTAACAACTTAACTGCCTTTCTACAACCCCTCGGCCAAATTACAGCYGCCGAAACATTTGTTTTGGCAGTTTTACAAGCAGCTATTTTCAACATGTTTCAGGACAGATTAAAAATGATGACAACAAGGTTTGTTTTAGGGCTCCCAGTCATATCAGTCTACATATTTCCTGAATTTAGATCCTTATAATGGAATTCTTAAGTCCTGAAGTGATGTGAAGTCTGCTTTTGTGTGTTGCTGGCTTGACCTAACAATTTGAGGAGTTAATCACAGTTGATGACAGGTTTTAAAGCGATCCGACAAGAAACCAGACTTCATTGAACAATACTTGGAGTAAATGAAAAGTATTAACAGCAACCTCTGTTAATGAATAGAAACGATGTGTTTGTTTTTAAGAGCATGAAACCCCTTGATACACTAGAAAAGTGAAATTTAATTTTTGGCTAACGGTCCTCTACAGAATGAATGTATTCCAGTTGCGTGTTCAGCTGCAGCATTTATACCACACAATCCTTGTGTCCGATGACTTCAAATGTAATTTACAATCTGCTCGGCAGCAAAGAAAGACAGGAATCCCCAGCAGCATATCAGGTATATGTCTGTACTGTGTTTTACTTATTACAACCATCTGCTGAGAAATATATTGTGCCTCTGAAGACACGAATACCTGACAAACGCCAGCGCTCAGACATATTTCTCTGACTGTTTGGCAGGTTATTGTGTTTGCAGAGGCACCTGTTGAAAGACAGGGTGAAATTACAAACTTCAGCTTCCCCGCCGTCATGTAGCAAGAAGTCTTAAAGATTTCAGCCCCCCTCGGCGGTTTGACTGACAATCATAATTGAGTTCACAGATTGCATGTATCCTGTGCACGTATACGTTTCGAGTCAACAATTCAGGAGGAGGAATTCCGACGACACAGCTGGCCTCCTATAATTTTCTTTTCTTTATTTACCGAAGTTTTACCAGGCAAATCCCATTGAGATCACAAATCTGTTTTCCAAGGGTGGCCTGGGCCTGAAGGCAACCTATTTGGGAGGTACATGTTTTAGGGGGTGTGGGAAACCGGAGTACGCAGAGAAAACCCACGCAAGCAYGAGGACGACATGCAAACTCTGCACAGAAAGACCCCAGGTCCGAACCAGGGATCGAACCCAGGACCTTCTTGCTGTGAGGCGTCGGTGCTAACCACTGCCACGACGGCTCAGTTTAAACCAAAAGCACCCTGAAGTGTTGTGGCAACATTCTGCTGTTGGCCTGCCTGACTGTAGGAAACACTTTCACCTTTAAAATGATGACCCAGAATATGAGAGGTAATTTATGAAGTGAAACCCTGTTTCATGCTGCTGTACTCTGCAACATCCCTGCATTACACACACCCATACAAACATGGTGTGCCATTTGTTTTTTTTTACTACTCCTAAAAGCAAATGGCTTTTCAAATTACATATTGTTGTCAGAAAGCCAATTTATATAGATTCAAATGGGTTTTGATGGAAAAATTTCAATGACTTCATTTTATTTTATTTTTCACCACCTTTATTTTGAACCCATGGAGGCCAGTCACTTCTGCCCTTTTTCTACTAGCGCCTCTACAGCATGGTTCTACTAGACTCTCCATGATACCAAAGGCTTTTCCACTAGCAAGGATTTGTGGAACCAGCCCGTTTTTCAGAACTTACTTCACTGTGGTTCCAAGTGTACCGTGCTTGCCTGAAAATGCAATGTCAGAAGACTGTCGGTCACTGATGGGTTAGGCCACTGGATGCGTCACAAAGAGCTACTCTTACAACAACCCGATYCRCCATTTGCAGTAACCATGTCCTCCATTGTTGTGTTGTGTATCTTTTCAGGGATCTTCTTATTCTAAGTTTAATGGTGGGTGGCAAATAGCTTAATGGAGCATAACCACCACCAACTGGTAAGGCGTGAAGCATCAGTTTTTGGACTCTGGGACCATCCAGCCTTATGAACCCAACCACCAGAGCTGTTCCTGAAATGTAATGAAAAACCACAGAGTTCAGCCAAGTCAAAACGTGCTGTAGAGGCACTAGCGGAAAAGGGCCACTACAGTATATACTTRAGACATTTTTATAAATTCTGATATTTTGGAACATTATGTTTCGCTCTGAGACAAATTGTAAGATATAAAGTTCCTAAAAGCTATTTTAAAAATCCAGGTTTGGTTAAAGGGAGGGGATGAGATTTAAAAATATACACTAGTTTGTATGTAAATACACATTGCAGTTGAAAGGGAAAAAAAGCAATAAATGTGGCCATATTTCAATAGTCTGTATGGTTTTTTGGTCATACGATTTTCATTTTGAAAACTGTTCTTGAAAAAACAAAAGGACAGGGAAACGATCCGTCTGTTTATTTTTGTCAAAACGAAAGTTTTCAAGGCAACTTAGTGCTGCCCTGTGGAACCTGCTGCAGCTTCAAGTCCTCTTGGAGAAAGGTATCATTTACCAAAAGCACCAGAAACTCCAGGAAACTGTTCGAATCATCAGTGATATACAAACTATCAGCTAAAACCTCTTAAAGCATGTCAAACTAGTTAGCTAGCATTTATTCTTTGTGGCTGCTTGGTAAGCTAGTTATAAAGTGAAATGTGTTTATTCATCCCATTATTATACTATTTAAGGTGGAGCTCAGTTTTTTAAAGATATTAGCTGGACTAGCTGCATTAATAAAAATACAGTATTAAGTTAATTAGTTAAAGAAATGCAATAGTTAGCTAGGATTTATTTATTTATAAGCAGCCGCCTGTTATTAAAAAGTTATTTAACTCGTTCCACCTTAAACCATCCAATAACAACAATGTTAAATTTCCAGTTTAAAAAATAAATAAAAAAAGACAGTTTTCCCATCTTTGGGGTATAAAATTAAAACAGAATAATCAATGTATGTTTTAAAAATAAAAACAAATAACTATCCATTTTTTGTTTTGAATATTTGTTTTTAAAACAAAAAATTAAATGACCAAAAAGTACAGGGACCTTCAATAAAGTAGTATTACTGTTGCATAATTAATGACATTTTTCTATTACAGAGCATCAGAATGTATTATTTAAGTCAATATTTACTCAATAAACTCAAGCGTCACTGTAAAACATCTCCATCTGTGGAATGAGCAGATTCCAATAAAACAATGTGTCCATGGTGAGTATTTATCTACTGAAGCTGGGATATAAGGTCTCACCTTAAGCAGGAAATAGACAGGATATTGAATTCTGAAAGATTATGTAACATTTGCAGTCATTTTTTTCTCTAACAGATAAGCATTAAAGGTTTTTTGCACTCACTCCAGAAGCTATATTTGCCTTGGATCGCATTAAGAGATGAGGATAAAGAGAATGTGGATAATAAGTGGAGTCATCAGTTCCTGATGCTCTGTGCATACTGTCATAACATTCAGCTTGAGTTATGCAACAGCGTTCCCAATAGCTTTAAAGATGTAGGCTCATGTGTGGCATTTTAAATCTTTTTCAACTTTTTATTGCATCTCTCTTTTTTGGAACTGCGTTTGTATCAATTTTTCTTTACCGTCTTTGGTTTGGATTTAATATTCAGTGTTTAAATGTTCTAAGTTATAGTTTGGTTCAGGATGTACAACTCTACCATGGCTTGAAAGCACAGATGTGTGTGTTTGAGTGTCTGTACAGCATGTCTAATAGGAGTCAGGAGAGTCTGTTTGGCTTCCAGCAATAGAATCTAAGATATTAAATGTTACAATAAGCTCTACCTGGAGGTGGCTGCAGACAAGTCATGCAAAAACATACATAAATCCTCGCAGGAATGAAYGTAATATGTTCCTAGAGACAAACTAAACATGTGTAAAGTCAGCAATTAGTTCTTGGTTTAACCAGTGCAACAAACCATTATTGATGCGATATTTAAGATTAAGCAATATTGCCTTTCTTCTTAAGATTTATTGATTCTCCAAAAAGGATTGCCAACTTGATGAAATTATTTTTGATTGATTTAAAACTTTCTTTTCACATCTATGATTGCTGCTCAGCCACAACACGTTTATTTATTTTTTTATAATTTTTTTTGAGAAGTGGTAAATTTGCTCCATGCGATGGAGTATCAGGGCCACACAACAAGACTTTTTTTTATTATTGTGAGATTAAAGTCGTAATTTTATGAGAATAAAATCATAATACTACGAGATTAAAGTCATAATTTTACGAGAATAAATATTACGAGATTAAAGTCGTAATATTACGAGAAAAAAAGTCATAATCATGACGTGTCTATTTCCCGTTCCTCATTCTTATTTTGGCCACATCTGCTGTGTACAGCCATGCCTCTATGTTTATAAAGTAGTAGATTAACATGGTTTCATCCAAATTAGCTACGTGACGACTAAATCTGTCAATGCATCCATTAATTACAATACAGCTTTGGTTTATCATATAGCCGTTTGCACAATATCCTAGTCCTGCTATTGATAATTTGATGCTAATGTGCTAAAGGATTAACTATTTATCTATAGCAATACTAAAGAAAAACTTGACAAGTTGCTCAACAATCCTCATTTTAATGCAGTGGTAACTGCATGTTTTTTCATATAAAGGCTACAAAATTTTGACTTTAATCTCATAATATTACGACTTTAATTTCGTAATATTACGGCTTTGATCTCATAATATTATAACTTTAATCTCATAATATTACGACTTTAAACTCGTAATATCATGACTTTATTTTTATACGACTTCAATGTCATAATATTGTGACTTTATTCTAGCAATTTAAAAAAAAATCTCGTTATGTGGCCCTAATACTCCATCGTAGCTCTATGACAAAATGCTGACGGAAGTCCAATTGTCAAATTGGACTCGTAAAGAGATCTAGACGGTCGAGTCAACCATAATTTAATTGCCGTTACACTAAAACTGCCTGGTAAAAAACACTGTGGCCTTAAGACGGCCAGTCTAAACAAGAATCCAAATTATGCCAAATAAATTTTTAGTTATAATAATTACACACTCCTCAGAGTAGGTTCATGTCAGCTTTCTGTTTCTTGATAAACAAAATGCAGAAAATTGTGCTCTTCAAGACGTTTCCCAGTTTGCTCCAAACTGAACCAGTCAAAAGTTACTTGTTTTGAGCAGAATTCTTTTTTAAAAAAAGGAATAATGTTCGAGTTTCTCCGTTTCTCTGATGTTTTATTTAATCACAATAACTGAAGCCGTCGCGCCACTGGTGCAAACAAGGGAAGCCGTGTTCACCTYGGACGGAACAAAACTCTGCTCTCCATTCAAATCACAGTCACGTGTTACAGTAATTCTCAGCAACAGAGGGCACTACTGTGTGGTGCACTTGTGTCGGAATAACCTGCAGTGGTGCTTCCCCCCCTTTTTTTGCGGTTCTCCATGCTTATGTGTGTGGATGTGAGGGGAGGTGGTATGTCGTCCTGTCTGAAAATGCACATACACACACGTATATCCACACAAGCAGGCAGGTTATTATCTGATATTGCACCCCAGTTGTTTTTTTCTCCTTCCCCTCATTCTCCATTACGCCGCCTCTGTCCATGAATGAGGGGTTTGTTTGGATTTTCCTCCGGCTTTCCGCTGTTCAATGTTACTTTGGTTTTGCTCTCTGTTTCCTGGCCTGGACACGATGCCATTTTTTTWAACTTTAGCTTTGCAGAGGAAATGATTTCTGACTGGGAGAGATGGGGGTGGAATGACAAACTAATATATCCTAGGTCTGAACCCAGCTTAGCTGCACACAACTCCAAAGTGCCTACGCTGTTGCCAAAATTTTGTTTCCACTACCTTCTACTATGGCACAGAAAGTCCTCATAAATGTCTGTGGTTGCTTAAGTGAGTTATTAAATAACTGATTCTAGAGTAATATTGAACTTTTTTTTGTGGCTTCACATGTGCAAAAGCAAATTCTGCCAGGAGTTCAATCCCATCTGACACTATGCAGAGCATTCAAAGACGCAGCAGCTTATAATAATGTCATAAATGACAGACTGTGTCTTCCTCTTTGCATTTCTCCTACTTATATAGCAGCTTCCATCCTCACCCTGACATCTCTCTAAAACACTCCCCCTTCTTCTTCTTCTTCTTTTAAATTTTACTAGTAACATATTACAGGTCAAAAGAAGGCACACAAAAGTGAATACAAACACAGCAGAGTGTGTTCGCTCCCTTTAAAAGGCCTGTCAGATCACTTCAAGCCAAGTTGARCCTGCATGCCTTGGAAACTGAAAGAAGTGGTCTGATCTTCATCCCACTTCCGATACAAAATCGTCAACCCCTCTCCTCACAAAAAATAGAAAGAAAGAAAGAAAAGAAAAAGAGACAGAGACRCAATTGGGTGGCTTAATAAACATTCAAGAGGATCTGTGAAGCATTGTCATCTTACTTTATGAACAGTGCCACTTTATACACACAAAATAGGACCAGAGCTGCTGTGGAGAGACTATAAGTTTATAGAAACTAAGTACATTTACTTAGTTATTTTTTTCCAACTACTTTATATGCCTTCAGGAGAGACACTCTGAACTGTAGGAGGATGTCTTAGTAAGGGGAAAGGGAGGACTACCCCAAACGTTCAAGAGCACCAATGGCATAACAATTCTCTAATGACAAGAAGCAACTACTCATTAAAATATTATTACATATTTAGCAGCACAAATGCACTCCTGACCCCACTTTTAGGGAAACCCAGTTCTTAGTATTGCACATGCCACTATTGTGTAACATCTGATAGTATGTGGATATGTTTATGTCAAAGAAGAAACTAAAAGCAAGAAAAGGAGCTGACTGTATGGTCGCGCTGATTTGAAATCCTTGGAGGTAGGGTTTTTTTTTTTTTTACATTCAAGGCTGACATTTAACTCTAAACTGTGGCTTCAGGCAGCCAGTCAACAGAAGGCCATCCAGAGATCAGAGCTGATGCAAGATAAAATTGGAAAGGAGACCAACTCACCTTTTTCTTGCTGCAGTAGATCTGCCATTTCTTCTCATCGGGCAGAGCAAACATGGCCTCCCTGTTCTTATCTGTCAAGTCCAGCTCATCCTGCAAAATAAACACCGAACACTTTATCTATAGAGCTCATTAATGTGCAGGAAACAATGGTTAGAAGCCACGACAAAGAAACCGTTAGAACTGTCATGTAGCACCCACTCTCAAGACATTTACATGACAATACAAATCATTTTAGGAAAARGTCTGCAGATCACTGGATAAGTTATATTTACACAGAAATGTTTGTTCAACCTCCCCACTGTCTGGTTTGCAGAGGAGCGTTTTAATATTCACCCTGCTGCTCGGCTCAGTTTTTCAGCTTAATGCAAAGAGYCTCTTGCACCTTTTGAAATGCATATGAGCTCAGGAAATGAGTCTCTGTGTGCCAGCAAGGAAAAGCAAAGTCTCGGAAAACAGCAACGGATAAATGAGACTTGAAGGGAGTCAAATGTAGGACGGGTGGAGAAAGAGAGACACGTTGAAAATGAGAAAAGTGTGGATGTGGAAACTAATGGGACAAAAAAAAAGGATGAGAAGCTTCAGTGCTGAGGCTTTGTGCTCAACTCAAACTAATCTCTTCATAATGGTGGTGCTGCCGTGACGTCAGCTGTGAGTGGTGGGCCTCCTGGGACTCCCAGAATGRAGATGGCCACTGGTGACAGAGGTGGGGCCCTCTGTAAGCCACCCGGGGTTTGTGTTTTTACCCACTCTGCTGGACAGAGTGGGTCGAGGCTGCCTGAATTCCAAGAATTCTACTCTATGAAGAATGACATCATCMCTCACCCATTCCTTTCAACTGGATAAACAGCAGACGCTTTACTGTGGTTTTAGGAAAATAGGACAATAAGTCTGGGTGTGAATTTAAAGACGGTCTTTGGTCAAAGTGTTTCTTAGTCAAGTAGCAGGATTTCAATAATTACTTGTGACTCACGTGATGAGCTCATCATTTGAGGTCTACAGTATCTGCGAAGATAAATAGGCTACTATTCACTTTCAGTTTAAAAAAGGTACTAACTACCATATTTATTCATGTATAATACAATCTCATGTATAGTACGACCCCCCATTTTTTGAGCCTAAAAAGCAAAAAAAAAAAAGTTATCCTCAAACTACCTCCAATTTCATACAGACTTCAAGATTTTTCAGCCTTTGCAGTCTTTATACATATCAGTAAAATGATCATTGGACTGTTCAGTTTATTTTAACAACATATGTACTAAAAGGTATTTTGACAACAAATATATATCAGCTGTAGCAGCATCATATGATTTCTGGCATTTTACACATAGTCCACCAGGAGTCGCCAACACAAAAGTCAGAGACTTCACATAAGATTTGGGCCATCTTGTGGGGGAAAAGCAGATTACTTCCTATTCATGAGAGCTCCCTTTGGCGGAGAGATGTTTTTTCAGGGATACAAACTTTTTCAGAACACCGGTAGACGGCAGCCATTACAGACGAACATGTTTGTTGTTGTTCGAGGAGCGGCCCGGTCACACGCTAATGCCATTAGTTCGTTTTCATTACTAAGTTGCAGGACTACTTTTTTCCCCATTTTTTCACATCATGTCGCCTGACTGGATCTGTCACTATCTCACTCTGAAGCATGGAGGAGTGTCAGAGGTAAGGTCGTTTCAACTGCTTTTTATGACGCGGTCTCATTTCCGGACTCAGGCATTTTGTAAATAAAGCTGATATTTCAGTTAAAATACATAAATAAAAATATTTATCCGAGTATAGCATTACCCCCCAACTTTATGGATGATTTTATGGATTTAATTTTACATATTATACTTGAATAAATATGGTACTATCTAAACTCAAACTCAGCATCCACTGATTTAGACAGATTTTGCTCCCAACCTGGATCATAGTCTTCTCTCTGTATCCTTGGGCTTAGAAATGAGGTTGTTAGAATCCAGCCAGTCTCTGGCCAGTTGCCTGGATGCCGGGTCAAAGCCCTGCTGTCCGAGCTGCTGCTCTTTGGAGGAGCTAAGTTCTGGGAGCTGGTGAGAATCTGTGGGAATGAGACCCCTGGATGTAGACCAGATGGGAGTTGAGCCCAGCATCTGATCTCTATGCAGCTTGTGTTCTCCATTCTGTCACTACTGAAGCTTCACAGTTTCATGGTTTTATATGAAGGGAGAAATGCACGAGCAGGATTCAAGACAAGGAAAGTTAAGGCAAATGTGAGATAAGTATTTTATTATACTTTATTTTTAATGTATTTTATTAAGCTTTTTTTTGACCAGGTAAATCCTATTTATATCACATCTCTTTTTCAAGAAGCAGCTCTACACAGAGCACCTCTTTGTAGTAAAAGGAAAAATCTGAAGTTGAGGATGTGGGCATGGAAACGTAGAAAAATGCTTTAGTCATGACAGTCTGAGAACTTCTTTGCAAGTTATGTAATGTCGCTCAGTTTTCCTAAACTCTCATCCTCCGCCCACTTTCTAAAGTCCTTCAGCATCGCTTCCACATCGCATCACCTCATGACCCGAGCAACACCTTCAAACACGTGCAATTACCTTTTTTCTCTTCCAAAACAAAAACCAACACTTTGCTGCGTAAAACTTTTCCTCGATGTGCCCCCTCTTTTTCCAACATCAGCACGTTTCAGCCAGGAAATCACATAAACCAAAGCYAATATTGTTTCACCTGCTGCTTGAGGAGGAAAAAGCGCATACCTCCAAATCTTTTCAAATTTCATGCACAGCAGCCAACCACATGCTGCTTCAGGTTTTCTGAAGTGTTGCGGACATGTGCTCTGATTGCCATTTTTGCTGCCCTACAATCTACTCTGTTGCTTTATTTCCTGCCTATAAATCTTAGTTGATTTCTCAAATGTGCCAATAAAAATCTAAAAAATATGGCAGGGTTAAATCGAGGAAACTTTTATGAATTGAAAGTTAAATTAAAAGTTGAGACTGTCTATAACTGTAATTTGTTGTGAGTAAATACCACACTTTGTTTTTGTGTGTGCAAGTTACATTTCTTAAGATCAAAAAAAAAAAAAAACCCAAAGCTGAGCAAGTCCATGGGAAATGACAAAACAAAGGGTGGCTTTATGTGAATGGCTTGCATTAAAGTGGGAGTGTCTTTGTGGACTGGAAATGCTCGTGTTTCCACATACGTGAGAAATGTGGCATCCGCCCTCATGCACGTATCTATGAAACAGTATTTCCAGGGTGGATATGGATGTCTGTGCCTCAGGTTTAACCCTGTGTCACAAAATGGGAACACAGACACAGTCACTGCTCATGTATCATGCAACAGTCTCTGGGCGAGAGAGTGAGGCAGAGGAAAGACTAGCAAGATGGCAGGAAGTCATATTAGGCCTCCAGGGAACCCACAGGAAGCTGGAGCAGCCATTATTGACCCCTACAAGGTACAATAAGTTTGCTTGTACTGAAAGTACAACACATCAGTATTTACAGCTAAAGCTGTCTTTTAAAAGAAGATCAATTTGGAGTTATTTATAACCAGGGCCAGCCCGTGGCGTAGGCAGTATAGGCAAATGCTGTGGACGCAGGTCCAACTAAGGGGCAGCACAATATATATATA